TTCTATTTATAATGTATTCAAAATATAGTCACATATATTATTTTCTAATTGTTTTTGACTATTGTAGATATTTATTTACATTTCTTTTAACTTTTCATGTATTTTACTATTCTAAGTTTCTATTTAGTTTATTTTTTCTACTAAAATTTCATTTATTTTCTATTTTTCATATTATGATGTGTTACTTTTTTATACTGTTTTATTTATAAAATCAATCATTTTTTTTTTTGTAAAGATATTAATTTATTTTTTATATTATTGCATTATTATAAAAAAATAAGATTTTTAATAATTTATTAATATTGGATTTATACTTTATACAAATTTTTTAAATAAAAATGTTTATACTAAATAATAATATTTAAAATATATTTATAAATAATATATAATATTAAATATTAATTTTACACATATATATTTTTTTTTTAATTAAAATATTTTTTATTTAAATTAATTTTATTTTATAAAAGAAATATCTATAAATAATTTAAAAATTTTACACTAAAAAAACAAAAATAAGAATTTTAGTATAAATATATTGAAAAAAATAAAAAAAAATATAATTAAATATTAAAATAATAAAATAAAAAAAAAAAAATAATTCAATTGTTTAATAAACATATATATATTTTAATTTACAAAAAAATTAATTATTAATATATTGAAAATATATACTAATAATAGTTTTGTTATTTTAGATATATTCTATTTTTAATATACTTAAACTCTTTAAGCAAAAAATATAATTGAATTAAATTGTTTTATGAAAATTTAAAATAGCATTTTATAGCTATATTGTATTATTATAAAATATTTAAATAGAAATAAAATATTTAATAAATTTATCATATCTAAAAATTATATATGTTGAAATACTAATTTCAATATACAAATATTATATAATATTATATTTTAAATATTAAATAAAATTTTGCTAACATTTTTTCGAGGCAATTTCAAATTTAAATTTAATTATTTTCCCCTTATTAATTTAAATATTTTTTTACTAATAAAAATAATAATTACTAGATATATATAAAAAAAAATGTAAAATACAAGAAAAAGTATTGATGAACATGTAATTTTTTTAAATAATTTATACATTAATATTAAAGATATATATTAAATAAAAAGCCTTTCCCTGATATTGGAAAAGAATGCACTTAAGTAATTTCATTTTTTATTTAATTATTATTTTATTTAAATTTTATTAATAAAAAATAGGAAGAGATTTCATAAAGAAGGTAAATAGATTAATAATATTAAAATTATATTATCAAAAAAGAAAAGTTTATTTAACAATCGATGATAATCAAATTAGATAAGTTAATAAAGAAAATGAAAATAATTAAAATTCATAATAATCAAGAAAAAAGTGCCTTTAAAATTCTTAAAAAATAGAAAAATCAAATTAAAAATAAGATTAAGAAAGTTTAAAAAAAGAAAAACAAAGTATGGACGTAAATAATATAATGAATATTGACAAACTGTAAATAAACGAACAAAATATTTAATAAAAAAACGACTCTTTATATGATATACAATAAAATTCTTTAGGAAATATTCATAATTATATTTAAAAGGATTTCTAATAATCTAAAAGTCAATAAAAAGAGATTTAATAATAATTAATAACTTAATAATCTTAATAAAATAATTCTAATTAAAAAATTTAATAATAATCTCCAGAATAGTAAATCAATTAATAATAAGTTGATTAAAAATAATAAGACTAAAAACAATTTAATAGCAATAATATCAAAATAATTAGAATGAAAATAAATAAATTATTTTTAATAATAAGATAATTAAAATAATTATTTGAAAGAAAAGGAAAGTAAAAACAAACAAAATTTGTTTAAAAATGAAAATATATTTTTAAAAAATAATAACAATACATAAGTTAATATATTTTAACCCTAATCATAACATATATTCAATATATCAAAATAAGATTTTACAGAAAATATTAATAATAGTTTATTTCGAATATAATAGCCAATATAGGATAATAATTAAATATAAGAAAATTTCTTATAATAAAAAAATTCAGAAAATTAAAGTAATAATATTAATGCTAATTTATTTGAAAATAAATAAAATATTTTATCTGAATAAATAATTAATGTTCAAACTCCAAACCAAGATTAACTTAATTAATATAAAATTTTAAATAATAAGAATTAGTAAAATATGTTTGTTTAGAATGAAGATAAAAAATAGTCTCTTTAAAAGTTAAATAATAGTAATTATAATATTTTTTCTGATGATAACTCTCTTAACTTTAATAATAATAATAATAGAAAAAGTATTAATCTCTTTTAAAATTTAAATAATGATAATAATTACATGAAATAGCATATATTGGCATATAATGTAAATAATGATTTTTTTAATAAATAATTTAATAATAATGGTTAAAAAATATTTTAAAATAAAGATAATATATTTTCTAATTAAGAAATTTTAATTTCTTAATAGAAAAATATATTTGCTAAATAAGAAAGTCCAAATAAAGCTATCAAAAATTAAAATAATATATAAAATTCATAAAAAGAATAATAAGAAAATAAAAATTTAAATAAATTTGATAATTAAGAAAAATAATAATAAAATAATAATAATTAATAATAAATTGTCGATAATATTTAAAACGATAATTAAATGTCTAAAAACAGTAAATAAAAACTAATTGATTAATAATCATAGGATTAAGAAATAAATAAAAAAATTAAATTAGAATATTCTGATATTTTAAATTAAAGTGTATTAAATACTCGCTAAGATAATAATAATGAAAACGAAAAAATTTAAGAATAATCTTAAAATAAAATAAAAAATTATAATGATAAAAATATACATAATACAGAATAAAATAATATAGGTCTAATCATTAATAATTAAAATTTAAATAACAATCTAAACATATTTTCTAATGCATCATATTCAAAAAACTAATAATATACAAACAGTAAAAATGATTTTAATAATATTTAGACTAATAATAATGAAGTTCAAAATCTAAATATCTCTTAACAAAACTAATAAACTCTTCCAAATTTAAGTTAATAGAAAAATATATTTTATAGAACAACTTTAAATGAAACTTCTGTTAATTAGAAAGTGATTGATTTTACACAATAAAATAATTTAGCCACTATATAATCTTCTAATATCTCAGATTTAAAAAACTCAAATATTTTTTCTAACTTTCAATAAACTACTTAACAAATAAATTTATTTGAAATTCCTAATAATCTTAATCAAAAAAAAGATAATATAAATAATATATTTTAAATTCCAAATAACTTACTAGAGAATTTAGAATCAGGTGAAGATTCAAGTATAAATTAATATTTATACATAACTTAATCTTCTTTATTTATTTTTTATATATAGTTGAAGAACCAAAAAGCCCATCTATAGATGAAAATAAAATAGAAATGAAATATAAGTATGAACATATTAATAATAAGATATTATCGAAAAATTTGATAAAATTTAAAAAAAATAACTAAGATATAATAGAAAATGGATTTATTTGTATAGAAATTTAATAATAGAATTCATAATAATAATAATAAGAAAACTAAAAGGAAATTGATAATATGCCATTAATTATTTATAGAAATTAAATTAAAAATATAATTTTTTTATCTAAAATCGTTAAAAATTTTACAAAAGTTGACTTTATCAATAATTAAAGAAATATTAAAATAAAATGCTTGGAGTATAATAAAGAAAATGATAAATTTGAAATTTCAATTATTAAATTATAGGTTTTCAAATATATTTATTTATTTAAAAATTTATAATATTTTTAACTTTATAGTTTTTAAATGAATAAGATGGGTAAGAATTCTATGATTGTTTAAATAGATATTTATGAGTAATTAAATATTTAGTAGAAATAATATTTATATATTTTTATTTATATATAATACAAATATATAAATTTTATATAATAATAAATATATATATTTATTATAAATATTATATATATTTTATTTTTTTTGATGATTTTATATTAATATTTTATATATATATTCTCTTGTATTTTATTATATTCATTTATAATTTAAAATATTATTTTTTTATATTTATAATTAATATTTTCCTATATAATTCTTTTTATATTTTACACTATTACTGCTTGAATTTAGTTTAGTTGTTTATTATCTTTAGCTTTCTAAATCTTATTCTGAAAATTCTTAAGTTTTGTTTAATTATAAATTTCTTACTTTTTTTTACACTAATGATTTGCTTGCATCTTATTATGAATATCTTTTATTTTGAAATGTATATTCAATCTTGCTTTTAACTGTTTCATATTTATATTCATTTTTTCTTTATTATAAATTATATTGAATTATATTTTCAATTTTTTATCTTTTACTTCGGTTTAGCATCATAACTTGCATTTGTAGATTGCACATTATGAGAAAAAATATCTTTTCATTTTAAATAAAATATACATTATAAAGTAAGCTTTATTGTTTTTCTATTTTTTACTAAATTTATTTTAAGAAGAATGTAATGAATTTTAGGTTATATTATAACTTTTGAAAAATTTTCTATCTATACTGGAGTTTAGATACATAGTAACTTTTTTTTTAAGTATTTATTATTTACATCCAAATTTGATTTATATTACATTTTACTTTTTCCATGCGTTTATATTGGAGAGACAGATTTTAATTCTTTTTAATATTCTTTTACGTATTCTCTTTAAAATTCTTTTTAAGGCTTATATTAACTTTCAATTTATATTCCAAAAATGCATTCTTAAGGGTCTAAAAATTCACATGGTAATGAGTTATTTTTATCATAAGGATATATAAATTAAACTTTATTATAGGCATTATTGCTTACTTATACATACCAGCAGAGTGGATTTAATCCTTTATTTTTTATATTTTTTTGTATTTATGATTTTATTTTTTAAAGTTTAAACCATTTTAGTTTTTTGGATATTCACTATTTTTTATATTTTCAAATATCTCTGGTAAATATTTTAAATGTTGAAAAAAGGAAGAATTGATTTTATTTAGACATATCTATTTTAAAATATTTTTTTTATTTTTAATTTATTTTAATTTCAATATATTTTTATAAATACTTTCCCATTTAAATTTAAAATCCCAATTAATTAACAAAAAATTTCCTAAATTAAATTATTTTCATATAAAATTTCACATAAAAACCTACAAGAAGTTTTTCTTAATTCTGTTTTTTTTTGTAAATTTTTATTAAAATATAAATATGGTGTGTATGTTTAAAAGCTTTAATATTATTATAATAATTTATAAATATAATACTGATATTTTTATCTTCTATATTTGATAATATTTTATTTAAATCATTTGTTGTTAAAGAATCAAATATTTCTTTTTAATGTATTTTATTTTGATGTATATGTCTTATAAAATTAATATATTAAAAAAAAAAAAAAATTAATTTATTTTTATAGGCTTATTACTCTATTAATTTTGACATAGATTCAATAAGCATTTCTTTCTCTGCATCACTCTAATTACTCATTTCTATGATATTAATCTAAAAATTATTTATTTAATGTTTTTTATGTATTAAATTTTTTTAAAATAAAATTTTAAAATATTTTTTGATTTAAATTTTTATTAAAATAAAAATATATTGAAAAATATATTGTATATATATAAATTAAAATTATAACAAAAAATATTAAATTAGTCAGTAATTTAATATCATAAATGGAAAATTAGCAAATATTTATTATAATTTATATTGAAAGATATTTAAAATAAATAATTAAGTTAATTTATATATATTTTAGCAAATAAATTATTTAATAATATAAAATAAAATGACAATATAAATTATATATGAATATATTTAATTTAAATTTATTAAATCTTTATTTTTTAAGTTTTTATAATAAAAAAAAATATTGATATATATTACTAATTATTAGTTATAGAAATAATTTTTTTCTACAAGTTATTTAAATTTTATATTCAAATTATAAATTAAAAGCATTATATGATATATATATATATATATATATATATATATATATATAATAATCATATATATATTCTATTATGCCTTTTTATTTTTGTAATGTCTATCAGTTATTAATCTCTTTTTAATTAATAATATATTTATTTTTTTTTTAAAACATTTTATAAAAAAATATTAACCATCTTATCTTTATTAGTTTAGAAAAATTTTATGGCATTAGCTTTTTTAAAATATTATGTAATTAATAAATAATTGAATATAAATTTATTATTAAAATTTTAATATAAATTAATATGTATTTTTACTTCAACTTAAAATATAGTTTAGATTTAAATTTAAAATATAAAGAAATATATATTATATTTAAAAATTATTAGTTTTATTTTCGTTTTTATAAAACAACTAATCTGTTTATAAATAAAAAATAATAAGATATGCAAATAAATAATTTATGTTTATTAATTTATTTTTATGATTTATATAATAAATCATAAAACTATAGTATATTTTTTTTATATAAAAAAAATTAAAAAATTAATTATAGATTTGATAATATGTTAATTTTTATTTTTACTCCAAATTTTTTATTACAACTCAATTTAAAAAAAAAAGAATAAGAAAGATTGAATATTCATTCTATTTTATCTTTATATTATTTAATTTATAAAAAAATACAGAAAATAAATATTTTTTTTATTTATATTTATTATATATTTCTTTATCAAAATATTACTAATAAATCGCCTTTTATGAATTTGAGGTTATTCCTATTTTTTTTTTTTAATTTAAGCATATAGAATACTAAAATTTAAATTAAATTTATAATATAATATAGGGTGAATAAATAAAAAATAAGGTAACTAAGATATATTATAATTAAAACTGAATATACCACTTATAGCATCATCATGAAAATTGCAAAGTATATTATGATATAGATAAATGAGCTCCATATGTAAGAATTAGTAATTAAGATTAGGTCAACAGGATATAAAGATTTAATATAGCATAATAATAGTATAAAATATGTATAATATTTTTAATAAAAACATATTAAAATAATAAATAAAAAATACTATCAATTTAAAAATAAAAAATAGAAAAAAAATTGACATAAATAAAAAAAAGATGATTAAAAAATGAATTAATAAATAAATAAGATAAGATAAAATACTAAATAAAAAAATATAAAATAAATATATAAATAAAAATAAATATAATAATTAATAATATTAATAATAATAATAATAATAATAATAATAATTATAATAATAATAATAATAATATATATACATATATATATATATATTATTATATTTATTTATATAAATATTTATGTATAATAATATTTATTTATTTACATTTATTATTATTATTTTTTCTAAAAAATATTTTTTATAATTATTATTATAGATTTTTTTAATCGAAATTAATTATAATTATTTTATTTTTATATCTGTTTTACAAAATTTTTATCTTTTTAAAGAATTTTATTTTATCTTTTTAATTTATAAAAATTATTAAACATAATGAATTCAATAAAATTTATTTTAATAATATTAACTATAGGAATTTCCACTATTATTTTATTACTAAGTGCAAGATTAAAGAAGATCATCATTTTTATCTAAATAATAGCTGTCATCTTATTACATAATTTATTCTAGAGTAATAGAATATTTATAGATTCCTTGCTAATTGAATTCTGTTTAATCCGAATTAAAAGTCTTAATAGTTTGATTTGTTTATTATCTTAAATTATTGTTTTTATTTTTTTATCTTAAATCTAATTTCATATGTAATATTTCCTCTTCTTCATCTACTTGTTCATTATTTTGATAATCTGTAATATTATTTTAACTTTAATCTTTTTTACTTTTCTAAACTTAATTGATAATATATTATGACGAATAATTATTTTTTCCTTATTATGTTCTTGTATTTTTATTATTTTTCTGCAGATTATTTTCTAATTAATAATTGTTGAGTTTTTATATTTTTTTTTTTCCTTATTTACATATAATTATTTATCTATATATTAATTATATTTATTTTTTTCTGTTTCACTGCTTTGGCTTTAATTGTTTTTATGTTATTTTAAAGGAACTTATATATAATTTGTTATTTCTATTTGTTTTTTTGTTTTTTTATTTTTATCTCTTGAACTACTTCTGCTTATTCTCAAACTCTTTTAAGTTTCTGGAGGTGAGTCTACGATTTCGATTATTTTTCTTGGAACATTATTTCTAGAACTATTTATTTTTTCCTTTTAATTATTATAATATGTTGAGTTTTATGAAGTATTTTAATCCTTTAATATACTATTTGTATTTTAATATTTTTTTAAAATGGATTAGCAACTTTAAGTATTTAGATTTTTAAAATTTTGCTAAGCAAAAGGACTTTAATTTTAATTATATGAAGGCTTTTCATTGTAAAATGGATTTTATATAGGTTTTGTCAATACAGTTTATTATTTTATTTCTTAAATTGCTTTCTCCGGTTATTTGCAAGATTAACTAGGTGTTTTAAAAAGTTTATTTTATTTTTTGGTTTCTATAATTGACTATTCTTAATCACTTTCCTAATTATTACTAGAGCTTTAAGACTCATATGTCTAATTTTTAATTATTTTATATTATAAATGATGAGGATTTTATACTGATTTTATTATTGATTTTTTATAGAGTTCTGTTTTATCCTTATTTTCTATAATTATTTAATTTTCTAAATTTATTGCTTAGTTGTCTGTTTTATTTTAATTTATTTAAATTATTGGTACATTTTTTTTATTGCATATATTTAGAACATTTGACATATTTTGTGCATCTTTATTAATTTTTTATACTTAGGATAGGCTTTGATAATTAATCTAATTTTATATATTTAATGGATACTATTATTAAATTTAAATTTCTGTACAATTCGCATTATTTTGATTTTTTGTATATGCCTATATTTGGCTTTATGGCACATTCGAAATTTAATCTTATATTTTTGGTTTAGAAGGTGTATTTAATTTATTTTAGCTAAATATTTTGTTATATTAATGTGTATTATGTATGTATTTTTTATTCTAATTTTATTGTAAGTTTTAATTCTATATTATTGGAATTTAGTTAAAATATTTAATTTCGTTTTGATTTTAATTTTAAAAACTATTTAGATAATTAATATCTGATTTTGATTATTTTTTATATTATCTTTCATTTTTAAATTATTATTCTATTTTAAATTGAGGAGAATATTCTTATTCTTAGTTTGAATTTTTTTTATCCAATAAATTGTTATATACAGTTTATTTTTAGTTTTATTCTGAAGTATTTATAATTTATGGCTAAATATGCTTTTAATTGTTGCTATTTATTATTTCAGTAGTTATTTAACTTGTATTTTCTTATTTATTAGCTTCATAAAGACAATAAATTGGTTTTTATTCAACAACAGGATATTATTGATATGATTAAAATTATTCATATTTATTCTACTATTACTTTAGCTAGCTAGAGTTATTAGGATAACTTTCGTTTTATGTGATAGTATTATTCTATTTTTATAATTATATTAATCTTTCATATTCTCTCAAACTCATTTAATTTTATTATGGTTAGTCAGTTTATTCATCTTCATAATTTTTACTTTTAATATTTTCATCTTCATAATCTGAGTTTTCACTATTTGAAAGAATTTCTATTTTATTAATTTAAACTCTTAATTTATTGTAAGTAGGAATAAAATCAGTTTTATAAGGAGAGTTATGTTTTATTGAATTACTATTATGACATTAAATATTATTTAAATTATTAAATTATGATTTATCTATATTGGATATATTATTTTATGAACGAGTATAAGTACTATTTGTGTTGCTAACTAAGGGCTATATATTATTTTAATTGTTTATATAGTATTATACTTCTGTATTTGATAAAGGACATTAAGAAAATATTTTTTAGCATTTTTATTATTTTGAATTAAAATAAGAATTATAATTTTAGTCTATAGATTAATGTAGATTTTTATCCATTTAATATCTCTATCTTTCAGAAATTAATGTATTTGGAGTTTCTATAGGTTATTATACTTAAATTTATAATTATGAATTCGGATTAGGATTTTATTTTAAAGGAATTATATCTTATATCAATTTATAAAATGATTTTTAAGAATTTTAATTTTATTTTTGAAGATTTTCAATATTAAATTTTTCTTAAATTATCGTGGGTAATATTTTAGTTTATTAAAAAAATTGTTATTAATTTTCAATTTCTTTATCATTTACAATAACTATTTCTTTTTCATATTCTTTAAATTATACTTTATCTTTTTATTCTTCTTATATATATTATAATTATTATTATTATATTTATTATTATTATTATTATTATTATTATTATATTATTATTATTATTATTATTATTTATATTAATTTTAATTATTAACTTAATTTTTTTAACTTTTTTATTCTTAATTGTTTTTTTCCTGCTTAAAAGTTGGTCTGCTGAAAAATAAAATACTATTTATTTCTTAAGAACGTTCGAATTAATTATTTTAATTTATCTGAACTATCCTAAATATTATAATTTTTTATTTTATACCGTTATTTTTTTTTTTTATTTTAAATAAAAATACCTAGATAAAGAGGAATAAAATATATTTTTTTTTTTAATATCTTCTTAAAATGGAAATTTGTCTTTATAATTCAATTTAATGCATTATTCTTATAACATTATATTTTTAGTTAAACCTTTTATATTTCTTATATTATCTTAAGATTCTTTAAATTAAAATTTGCTATTTTACGTTACCATAGTTGTTAGCCCAACAACAGTATTTAAAAAATTACTTCCTTCATATTCAACTTAAATTAATTAATAATATATGCAAAAATTTTAACTTTGATTAATTTGCTCTATTTTTTCTTCATTTTCTATTTTTATTCTTCTATTTTGAAAAAAGCTTTGAGTTATCTTATCTACCCTGAATTAAAATTTCGTATTATTTAAATCCGGGGAAACATTTATTTAATTATGGTAGCTTTATTTTTATATTAATTGCTTATTTTCTAATAATTCTTTTTTCTTAAGACTGTATTTTGAGGATTATTTGTATGTTTTATTTGATAGATTTTCTTTTTAATATAAATTGTTGTTTTATTTTTAAGGAGTTATTGAACGAGATTAATAAAATTATTAGTTTGGACGATTTAGTTTTTTTGATTGTTCTTAACCCATTATTTTAAGAATATTCGTATATATTAAATAAATTATAATATTTATTCTTAAATAACTTTTTTTTATTTGTTATTTCGCTTATTTAAAAAAATATTTTATTTTTACATTAATATAGGTATTTTAAAAAAATTTATAAGTATTTGCAAAAATTAATAAATTCTTTTACAAATATTACATAAAATATATATATATTTGATGGGATATTTAAAATTTAATATAGGAATATAAATAAATGTATATTTTTAAGTTAATAAATATTTATTATCTAATTAATAAATTCTTATTCACTATTTTACATTAATTTTTATTTTTCCTTTTTTATTATAAATAAAAAAATATTATTATTTTAATTTTATTAATATTTACAATAAGAATTTTCATAAATTCTTGTTTTCTTCCATTTATTAAATAAATAATTTCCTATTTAAAATTAAATATATATAATAATCATTGATCCAATTAAAGTAATATAGGATATTCCGTTTTTCCATGTGATTCCTGGATATACTGGGTTGTATTTTAAACTATAAAAAAGATTAACCCCTCCATAAATTAAAGCAATAATATAAATAATAAATAAATGCCTTTTAACAAATTAAATATTATTTACAATAGCTTCAATCCATATGCATAAAAATATTCCTCCATGGGCTTATATATTTAAAAATACACTATATCCTTCAAAAGATAAGCTCCCTTAATTAGGAACTATAACTGCATAAAAAACTAATACTATAACTAACTATATACAAAATACAAATTCAAATAATATATGCTAAAATTTCCATAATCTTTAATTTTTATTTTCTTTAAAAATTGTAGAAATAGTAGCTAATATGAAATATAATTCTGATGATATAAGTCCCCACATAGTTAAATATATAAAATAACTATTAACATTATGTATAATTAGTGAATGCCAAGCTGCTATAGCAATGCAGTATGACGCCAATAAAAATCTTACAAATATTAACATTTTATTTGAAATTAAATGACTTTCCTATACGTGTTGAATTTACTACTATTCTGTCCAAAAATAATTATCTAATTTTGCTATAATTTTAAAAATGAACATATTTATTAATATTATCTTTAATTATTTTATATTTATATTTAATTATTTAATTTACAATAAATATAATTATAATATTTGAATTGATTTTTTATTCTTTTTAAATTATATTATTTTTGGACTTAATAGAAAATTATGATAAATAAAAAATTATTTGTGAAATATATTTTTAGTTACAAAAATATTTAATTTTTAAATAAATTTTACAAATTATAAATTATTAATTATTATATATAATAATAAATTTTTATTAATTTATAAATATATTTTATTATTTTTCTTAAAATATTAAATAAAAGAACAAAATTATGGGTTAATAATGCTGTTGTTATAGTTAAAATTAGTAAGCAAACTAAAAAAAAGATGGTAAACCAATCGACGAACTTTAAATATATACTAAATTAAAGCCAGCTCAAGTACGAAAGTCAATATTAAAAACTCAATTAAGTAATACATTAGGTTTAACAGAAGAAAAATAAATTAAAAAACAGCCAAAATTAGCTTAAAAAATTCAATCACGTGGTTTTTTGAATATTTTCTATGCTACAACAAGTGGAACAAGTAATCGTTTAGCAAATAATTTAATGCAAGAGTCAATTACAAATAATTATTCTCCAAAACTCATTCATATAAATGATTTTGAACCTTCTTAATTGTCAGAAATATCAATTCCTTCAATATTTTTTTTTTCTACTTATGGATAAGGAGGTCCAACAGCTGATGCAGAGAAATTTTTCGCTTGGTTATAAACTTAGTAGGATAGTAATATTCTCGGAAATCTTCATTATATAATTTTTGCGCTTGGAAATTCGACTTTTGAGAATTTTTGTGGAATGGGAGTAAAAACAGATAAGAAATTTTAAGAATTGGGTGCCAAAAGTATGTATATGTTAGGAAAAGGAGATGCATATAATGAAAAAACAAACGACGATTTCGAAAAATGGAAGGAAGATTTATGGAATGTGTTAAACTAAAAATACCAATTATAGGAAATCTCCATATAGTAATTATATGAATAAAATTCTCCTTATATAATTGAAAATAATAATGATTTAAGTGTAGTAAATATTGATGAAATAAAAATAAATAATGAAAATGAAAGTTTGTATGAAAATAAATTAAATGATTATTTCTAAGCCTAAAATTTACCGATTCTTAGTGTTTAATAATTCAATAATCGTTTAAATATATAATTAGATTTAAAAGATTCATCTTTTAAATATTAAACAGCGGGAAATTTAGTTGTTTTTCCTGAAAATGATATTAATTCAGTTAATTAATTTGCCGAAATGCTAAAACTTAATCTCGATTAAATATTTGTACTGAAAAAAAAGTAAGAAAATATAAAACTACCATTTCCAACTCCTATAAAAATAGTTACTTTTTTGCAAAAATTTTGTGATTTTAAAGGATCTATTAATAAATTACAAGTATAGGCATTAATAATGCATACAAAATATGAAAACGATTCAATTTTTTTATAAGATTGTATCAAAGATGCATAAAAATTTAACTCTTTTATAACAGAAAAAAAACACTCTTTATTTTCTTTGATTTCGTTTTATAAAATAAGCATTCCTTTTGAAATTCTTGTTTAGATTTCAACTAAGATATATCCTAGATATTATACTATTTCCTCTTCTAATTTAGCAGACAATTAATAGCTTTCTTTTTGTATTTCTTTGCATTCGTTTGCTAATTTTGATGGTTAAAATGTTATTGGATTGGCTTCAGCCTTCTTTTAATAAGCTAAAAAAGGAGATCTTATTAAATGTATGTTTAAAGAAAGTGTATTCAGTAAATATTTTTAGCTTGATAGTTATATTCCTTATGTATTTGTAGGGCCTGGAGCTGGTATTGCCCCTTTTAGAGCTTTTTTACTTGAAAAAGAATATCTTTAAAATTTTAAAGGCGATTGTTATGTGTACTTTGGCTGTAGAAATTAAGAAGATTTTATTTATAAAGAAGATTTAGAAAGGTTTAAAAATAAAGAAATTTGCAAAACCCTAAAAGTTGCATTTTCAAAAGAAAGAAACTAAGAATATGTATAAAATGCAATGAAAAATGATTTAGACATGTTAACTGAAATTCTTATTAACAAAAATGGGGTTTTATGTATTTGTGGAAGTAGCAAAATGGGTGAAGATATAAAAAATTTGATTGTTTAAATATTTTAAGAAAATGGTAAGATTATGCCTTATTAAGCATTTCTTAAAGTTTAAGAAATGTAGTCTTAAAATAAATTCTTAATGGAAGTATGGGGTTGATATACTTTAATAAATAATTTTTTTTAATGTCAATAATTTATTTTATTTTATTATATTTTATAAAATATTAATTTTTAAATTTATTAAAATATATATTATTATATTTAATTTTTTTTTTAATTTAGATAAATTCATATGAAAATATATTTTTTTATACTAAATCTTTTAACAATCTTTTGTTAATAGTTTATACGAATAACCTACGATTTTTCTTAGTTCAACATAACTAATATATATTAGAGATCAAATATTAACAGAGCAATTGATGTTGCAACCGAATTTTTTTCATAATTAATTAAAATAAAAGAATAATAAGAAATAATAGAAATACCTTTAAATTAATTATCATGTGGTACATATTAATTTACAGATGAGCAAAAAATGTAAGGTATTAAAAAAAAAATAAAAAATAAAAAAATATAAAAACAGGATTTGTTAATACAGATTTACATATATTTGTTACAAATATAATAAACAAAGAGAAAGATTCACATTTAATATACGTTAAAAGCTGTTTAAGGCGAAAAAAAACAGGGCGCCCATTATTGGCAATTCTAACACATAATCAAAACAATTTGCATGAAACTGAATTTAATACATTTGAATTTACAAATTATTTAAATCTTTTAATTCATAAAATGTTTTAGCTTCTACTTTTTGATAGTTAATATTTTCCTTATTTCATAAATCCTTAAACTAATGATTTTTACCCTGTTTACATGTATAAGAATGGAAATAATTTCCTCTCCTTTCCATCATTATTAAGATGGGGAAAATAATACTATAATTGCGATACTTTAGAAGGAATAAAAATAACTTAAGAAAACACCTGGGACAAACATTTTTTATATAATGATATAATGACATTAAGTAATTTTAATTATATGTGGTCATTGGAAAAAAATGAGGATGATTCTGAGCAAAGTATAATTTCCTACACTGTAGGAAAATATTGGGGAGGATAAAATAATGCATTAATAAAGGACTCTGGATGGTACTAATTAAATGAAATGGCGTTTGAAGATAACAATTAATGGGGAAAGGGAAAAGGATGTGATTTTATTGACTTAAATTGTGAACAATATAATCCTTAAAGTGAGTTTTGTACCATTCTAGAAAGTAGGTCCATTTCTTTCGATTATTAATCATGGGGTATATGTAAAAAAATAGATAACTCATCCTGTAATTTCTATATTCCTTATAGAAATACTTTATGTATTGATCCAGGAAACTAAGATCATAAAAGTAATCAGATCTTAATTAAGGAATTCGGGGTTAAATTCGGCTCTTAAAGTAAGGCTTTTAAATCTTCGCTTTATCCAATAAAATATCAATAATAAACTAACTCTTATATGTGTTATTTTGCCACTTGTATTGATAAAAAATATATTGAAATATCTATTGGTGGAAAATATAATTTTACATGTACTAGAGATAATTAAATAATTAAATCTCCTGAACCTTTCTACATATAAGGATTTTTTTAATGCCCTGATATCGAATAATTTTGTCAAAATATATATCCATGTGATAATTTTTGTTCTAAAAATGGTTTTTGTATAGGTTAAACATGCCATTGTTTAGATTAAATGAATGGTCCTGGTTGCTAATGTGAAAAAGGTACATTTTATAATGACGGGAAATGCTAAATTTGTCCTGAAAATTGTATTAAGTGTTCTGGTACAGATAAAATTTAATGCTTAAATTGCAATGAATAATATTATTTATAATAAGGAAATTGTTTTAAATGTTAGGTTGGTTGCAAAAAATGCATAAATGCTATAAGCTGTTAATTATGTTTGCCTCAATATGTTTTAAACTAAAGTATTTCATAATGTTAATTATGTCCTAAAAATTGTTTAACCTGTGATCAAAATAATTAATGTTTTGAATGTTAAGAAGGCTTTGGGATTAATTCAGAAAAATTATGTAATTTTATATGTGACACGAATTGCTTTACTTGTAAATAAAACCCTAATAGTTGTGTAAAATGCAAATAAAGTATGATTTTTCAAAACGATTATTGCACATGTAATGATGGATATTATCTTAATGAATATGGAGATTGTTAATAATGTTAGAATTTCTGTAAAACTTGTATTAATGCAATATAATGCCTCAGTTGTATAAATGGATATGTTTATTTTGAAAAAAATATGAAGTGTTTTGAATAATTCACATATTCTTATGGTGTTTTTCTTTTTATTAGTTTCTTTAATATTTTTATTTATTTTTCTAATTGAAATAAATTCAATAATAATTTATATATTTAATTATAAATTGTTTTTGTAATTTTTTGATTAGATTTTTTATTACTTAAACTAAATATTTTAATTAAATCAAAATAAACTATTTGCTTTAGTTTTTATAAAAAATAAAAGATTTATAAATGTAATGATTTTTAAAAAATTAAAGCAAACAAACAAAAAATATATTTATAATATATATAACTAATATATTTTCATATTTTTTTTTAAATCTTTTCTGTATTTTTTTTTTAAACTCAAAAAAAGACGTTTGTCCATTATTTTTTTTTTTTTTTTTTGATTGATTTTTAAAAAAAAAATACTGAAAAAACTAAATTAACAAATAATAAATAATATATATTATATTATAAATAAAAAAATCTAAAAATAAATAACCAATTTAAAAATAAGAGAAGATCATCTGCTGATTTTAAAACTGGTTTAGTATTTCGTTTTCATGGTAACTATAAAATCTAAAGTATTGCGCCCTTTTTTAAACAATAAAAAATAATATTTATATTATTTTTTATGACAGCTCAGATTTATAATGAACTCGAACCTTTTTAAAAAAAATCGAATTTTGAAATAAATATTTGCAAATCACCAATGGTCTTTGATATTACCTACTTAGTTTTTGAGGTTTGCATATTTCTTAGAAAGGTCATAGACAAGTAAATATTTTAATAAGTGATTTTGCGTTTTTGTGAATTTAACTTTCCTTTTAATATTTTTTAATAAATTGCCATATGATTTTCATCTATAAAAGGATCAATTCCAAAATTCATATATAAAGGTATAAGTTCTTCCCTCAATTGTTTTAGCAAAACCCAAAATATTTTTATTTTAAAAAACCATCATCTGTTATTAATAAATTCTCAAATTTTAAGTCTCTAAAAATCATATTTTTGGAAAGCAAATATTCAAACATTAATGCCACTTAAGCGACACAAAAACAATCATGATTCAGCTCTAAAGCACCAAAACTTTTTAAATATGAGAATAATTCTCCACCTGATATGAACTCTAAAATTAAATGTATATATCTACTATCTTAAAAAATCCACCCATATTAAATATAGATTGATGGCTCAAATTTAAAAGAATTTTGTTTCCGTTTATAATGTAATCTACTTATTTTAAAATGACAACTTTAAAGCAAAGTATTAATTTATGTTCTTTTTTAAAAAAAAAACTATTATTATACGAAAAGCCTTTTATTTTATTTTTTTAAAATAATTATATTCAAAAATATTTATGAAAAAATTTCTGTATCTATCACTAATGTTTAATATATATTTCGTAGTCTGAAAGTTTAATATTTTAGGTTTTTCCATTTTGAAAAAAGGTTTTTATTAATAAATTAATACAGATATATTTTTTTATTTAAATTTATTAAATAAATAAATAGTATAGATTTATTAAAATGTATGAAAATTAATAAATCATAAATATATAAATATATTTTTTACATAATATTTTTTTTTAAATTTCATATAATTAAATACTAAAATAATTTATATTTTAATTTAAAAAGACAAAATTATATTTAAAAAAATAATATTTAGTAAAAAAATATAATTTTATTTTTTATTAAAAAATAATCAAATAATAAAAGTACTAAATAAATAAACAAAAATTTTATTATATTTAAATATACTGCGTTTTATATTATATCTTAATAACCTTTTTCTTTTTTTGAGTTTTTTAAAAAAATTATAGTATAAATGTAAAAAAAAATGAAAAATTAATATTATATAACAACAACAAAAATACATAAAATTAATTGATTTTTAAAAAATAGTGAATATATAATTTATTAAATTAATTAAGTTGTGATTAAAAATAGGCAATTTCTGAATCTTCCTATAAAAAATTAAATTTGTTCAAAAATAAATATATTAATATAAAAATATATTTAAATAAATTATTTTCGTTTAATATCTAATTTTATCATAAAACAAAAACTTATTGCCAATTTTTATTTTAAGACGAACATAAATAACTTCATTTTTGATTTTTTATATTTTTGAAAGAATAAAATAAGATATTATAATACAAATTTATAAATCATTCGAATTTCAGTCAAAAGAATATTCATTTGGTAACTTTGATAGTTATTATTTATATAATTTATTTAAAAAATTCAATAATAAAATCTATAAAAAAGCAATATATTTTTTTTTATTTTTTTGAATTAATTATTAAAAACCATATCATAAAAATAGTTTAATTTTATTTAAGAAGCAAAGTTTAAAGATAAGAGGCTTCTAACGTTATATATATATTTTTTTATATTTAATAATTAATTAATTTGAATTTAAGATCCTCATAAATATATTTAAAATTTGATAAATATAATAAAATAAGACATGAAAAGAATATTTAGTAAATATAATATTTGGAATAAATAAAAATTATGATAAATCTAAAAACAAAAAAAATATAAAAAAATATTAATTAATTAAGAAATAATTTTTTAATTTATATAATTAGTATAAACATTAATAAAAAAAATTCATAAAAACCATGTTGGATTTTATTTGCAATCCTAACAAAACCAGTCATATTCAGGAATCTAATCATCTAATAGTTCATCATCACAATAAGTATGGCAAATATGAAATGCACAATTATCACAGACCATTAGCTTACTTTCATCCTAATCAGTTCCACATACGTAACATATTTCATCCTATATTTGACTTTATGATTCTTCATCATATTCTTATTATAAATTATTTTTTTATTCAACCT